TACACTCACCTTGATCCGTGATCTCTGCGTCACTCGAGGACTCCACTGGATCTTCCTCGACTTCACACTCCGATTCCGATGCCAAGTTTTCTCCTGAATCGGCGTCTGATTTGTAGGTCATGACCTTTACTTTTGTGAATCCGTAGTTGATCTCTCCGCCACTAATTTGGCTCCGGGGTAGACCTCTCCCACCTTAGCTATTGCTGCTTTATATAGCTGGACCGATCTCTCGTCGTCACACGCCATCATCTTTATCTGCCCTTGATACCATCCGGCATCCGCACATGACGGGGGTGGACCTGGATTGCTTAGTAGCACTTTTAAAGCCACATTCGTCAGTGCGGCTTGCACCCATTTCCATTGGGCTCTGGGGATTTTTCCTTCGGGGTCACCCTCATCCAGTACTCCAATGACAATGCGGTTTCGGGCCACATCAGCAAAAGATCTTACGGGCGTCACGCCCTTAGTTTTCGGTCTCTTAGCTGACGGCTTAGCCTCTTCAGCGGACCATTGTCTTTTTGTTGCCACTACCGGCACTTCTAGCTTGAAGTTAGGTAGGACAGCTCTCGCGCAATCAATGGATTCTCGGAACTCCTTTGTGAGCTCCTCAATGGTTGGCGGTTGCAGCTCCACCCTCTTCAACAGGTATGCAGCGCGTCGCCTCTCTGCATACTTTGCCTTTGCCGGGTCATCAATCCTGAAGGAAGGCCACTCTCTGGCTGACCCACTGCTGGCAGCTTCGCTTTTAGCATCTCCCACCTTCTCCTGCTTAGCTGCCAAGCCTTGGCTACAGGGGTTGGTATGGGCTGCCTCCAGCGTTGCTGTTTTTGTGGCGCCAGCCTTGGCCACTGCCCCCTTAGTATTCGCCTTTGCTCCAGGATCAAGCTTCGCTCCTGTCCTCGCTTTGGCTGTTGTCGAGCTCGTGCCAAACGCTGCTCTTCTCTGGGAGCAACTCGCTCCCACCGGTCTTTTTGAAGGAGGTCCGGACTCCTTTTTGTTTTTGTTTTTATCATTATTAATGTTTTGGCTCATATTTTGGACCCACGAGTGTAGGGGAAAGTATGTCCGCTTGCGCATAGCCCCCGCTACGCAAGTAAGGCGGAGGACGCCAGGTATCCGTAAGCTCCGTGCGAGACTGGGCTATTTAAGGGCCCCCAGCCAGGTTGATCTTCGGCACGGGTCGCATGACACCTTGGTCCAGCCCTTTACCTCCTTACAGTTTTTGTTAACTTCAATAAAACGTTTGGTCGAACGGACGTCTTTGAATTAAATTTGTCTTTGTTAGAAAGGTTATAAGCTCAGACCCATCACGTGTTTCGCTATAGTCGTTTCAGCCAAAAAATCGGTCGATATGATTAATATCGTGTATTTTTTTGTAATTGTTTTATTGAAAATAAAAATGAGCGGATCGGTTTTAAATATTGAAAAATTAAATGGTTAAAATTATGAGAGGTGGGCTATGCAATTGAAAAGCCTCTTAATTACCATGGATTATTGGGAAACAGTCATGTTACCTGTACCAGAGGATACATCTGCAGAAGTTAAGATTAAGTGGCTGGCAAATGATCAAAAAGCGCTAGCAACTATTAAGTTGTGAAACCGTTGGAACTGATTCATGTGAAAAATTGTGTACATGCTGCAGAGGCATGGATAATGTTAAAAGAAATATAGTGCAAAAACACCATCAAGAAAAGAAAATTTATTTAAGTCTGTTTCGATTTCAAATTAAAAGTGACATCGCGGAAAGTCTGAAAGAAATGGACATTGCTGTTCCAGAGGATCCGCTATATGTTGTGTTGTTGTGCAGCTTGCCAGACGATTTTAAGAGCTTTGTTGTTGCGTGATGATTTACCTTCATTAGGTCAACTGAAGGTCAAAATATTGGAAGAGGATCTGCGTCGTAGAAGTCGGGTAGACAGTAGTGGATCCGAAAAAGTGTTTGTAGCAAAAACAGCAAAAAAGAGAAGCGAGAACGCTGGAAGGTCAAACTACAGAGGTGACAGCGGCAACAACTTCAGCAGCAGTACGAGCGGTAATTACAACGGCAGAAACAATGCAATTCGAAAGAGAAACATTCAATGCTATGCATGTGGGCGGCGCGGTCATGTAAGGTCAGAATGCAACAGTAGATCTGCACAAGCAAAAGTAATGAGTGCACTTGGAATAAAATTTAGCACAAACAAAAACGTATGGATTTTAGACAGATGTGCTTCTTCTCACTTGTGTTGCAATAGGGAATTATTTAATAAATTAGAAAAGAGCACAAAATCCATACTATTGTCATCAGGTGAAAGTGTAAACGCTCAAGGCGTAGGTGATGTATTTCTACAATCGGGAAACACATAGATCAATCTGTGTAATTTACTTTTTGAGCCAGACTTACATTCTAATATTTTGTCGGTCAGCAAAATATTAGTTATGGACATTGTGTGACATTTGGTAAAAATACAGCGCGTGTGGTAGATAGCTACGGTAAAGATTGTTTTGAAGAAAAAAGGCAAGAGCATGTATTAACAGCAATTCAACTTAAAAAAAATAAACGTTGGCACTCGCGATTTGGTCATTTAAACTTTTATGATTTCGCAACATTATCAAAACTAAATATTGTGAGCGATATGAAACTAAATTTTACGAATGAAATTTCTTGTGTTATTTGTGCGGAGTGTAAAATAAAGGTTAATCAATTCAAAACTAATCAAACTATTTACACAAAAAATTGCTTACAACTTATTCATTCCAAATTTGTGGACCGATGCGTATATCGTCCCAGAGCGGTTCAAGGTACATTTCTACCTATTTCTTAAAAAATAAGTCAGAAGCGCTGCGTGCTTTTAAAGATTTTGTAACGCGGTCAGAAATGGGAGCGAATATTTGGCGTATTTCAAAGTTTTTTAAAAGAAAAAGGTATCAATCATCAACTTACAACCAGTTATACGCCACAGCAAAGTAAAAGAAAAATCCGAATACTGGTTCAATAAAAACCCTAGTGTTTTTCACTCGAAAGATTTTGCGTTCGATGTCGTGTATTTAGACAAAAAACCGGGTAAACCTAAATTTCTTCCAAAGGGTAAAAAATGTTCTTGAGACGAGTGAACACTCACAAGAGTCGTTAAGTCAACTACTTGTGCACGTGATCCTAAAACTGTGGCAGAAGCAATGTCAGATGGCTGTTCTCAGTTATGGAAAGACGAGATTAAGTTGGAAAATTATTCTTTAACAAAAAACAAAACGTGGTAGTTGGTAAATATGAATTGAAGAATATTATTGGGAGCAAGTGGGTGTTCAATACAAAATGGCGCGCTGATGGAACTGTGGAGAAACACAATGCGCGTTTAGTTGGAAATTTCGAGAGACTCTCCATGCGGAAATATTCAGCTTCACTAATCTCCATTGTATAAATCTACAAGTAGCCAATCCTAAGATTTTCACTAATACACACGCAAAAATATCCCACTTGGTACGGGTTGCCTCGAAAATTCTACTACTAAAATCACACTTGGTACGGGTTGCCAACCAATATTTTGCTACTAAAGTCACACTTTGTATGGGTTGCCAACTAATATTCTACTACTAAAACGTTCAAATGGCAGGAATCTGCTATAGTGTGTTGCCGTGTTGTGTTTTAAAATTAATAACTTTAAGAATGTTTTTATTTCATATTTAAATATTTTAAGGTTTTTTAATTCCTAAAGATTAAATTTAAATAGTATTATTTAAATTATTATTTATTGTATTGAAATATTATTAAATGTTTCCGATTTTATCTTTTTTAACTTACATGTTTATGTTTTTGTGAGTGAAAATCCTTTGTCTGTTGAATATTTAAATTCTTAGTTTACCGGTTTAGTCCTGGGGAAACGAACACCCAAAAAAGATCGGTAACGCGCCTATATTGAAACCTCAGAAGTGGTGAGGAAAAGCAATGGGAAAACTTTCGTTTAGCATCCCACGATTTCAGGGTTAAGAGGGGTATGGTTGGATAGAGGAGATTCTCCAGATCACGAGTATATACAATTATTGCCGCCGGAAACTTATAGTTTTCGAGATATTTCCATTTTAAATGCAAATTGTTAAACTGCAACCTTTTATTTAAAACTCTGTGTCAAAAAAGGGCATATTCGATCAGGTGATCACGGCTGTTTCACACACATAGGAAAACAGCTGATTCTTTGGCTACTTGTAGGCTTATACAATGCTAATCTCATTTTACAGAGGAGCTATTAAAAGAATGGGGTATTTTCGATTGTAAATCGTCATCACCACCGTTGCCATTTGGAACAGTCTTAAAAACAGAGATAAGGAGATGCCCAACTCGTCTCTCACTGGAAATGAGAGCGCAATTGATAAACGTCAAAACCTACTTCCTCCCTGCTATTCCTGCTTAAAAAAGTGCGAAAGTAAAAACTGCAGTGAAGTTCAGTTCACTGCAGTTTTCGACACAATCCAAGGAAGTTGCATTTTTAAGGAGTCTATTACAGGAAATTGGCTTTCTTTCATTCGTAAATTCTGCTACTAAATTTTTCTCAGACAACCAAGGTGCGCAATTTGCAGTGAAAAATCCAATGTTCCACAAAAGGAGCAAACATATGGTATAAGTTCCACTACGTATGAGAGAAATACTACCGCAGAGAAGTTGACATTTAATATATCTCGACTGCAAAAAATTTAGCTGATATTTCTACAAAATCTCTTCCAGAAGAGAAACATAAACGTTTTTGTAAACTGCTTAACATAAGGTTCTGTTAAATACCTATGTAATTAAAGTTTGTTATTCTCATACGTAATTAATAATGTGGATTCGAATGTTAAATGAATATTATTCTGTTTTTTGAAGATGATTTGGTTTGAGTCGGAGTATGTTAGTTAGAAGTTGACATCACTGAAAGAGCAAACCAAATACCAGGTATTTGTACATAATTTACCTTCTTATGTATTACACCTTTCACTCTTTACCATTGTTATTTTTTCATACTAAGTACAGTTTTTGTTCACTTGGTATCGAACGGACGTTAAATGTTCAAACAGTTTCTTTGTTATAGTTTTTTTTTTTTTTTTTAAATAATATTTTATTACGTTATATGATTTTTAAAAATTTTATAATATGGATACCCGTGTTTAGGCGTGATATAGACTCACTGGGGTCCGAGCACTTAAAAAAATATCGAAATGCAATCGTTAAGTTGTTGGAATTAGAAATATAAAAAAGTGCATAACTATTAAATTTGGACTTCTATTAAACAACCCAGTAATCGAACTCAAGAATGAATTATAGGTAGACGATTTATCGAGAAGTCCGTTACATTACTACCATCGATAGTTTTGCAGCTCATATGCAAATGTGATAGTTTGAAGATTGGTTATGTACTCAAAGAATTGCTTTTTACACGGCAGCACTCTAATTAGAACTGTGATTGCTGCACAATCCGGCAGCCCATATATAGTGAATTGTTAACAAAACTTCGCTACTCGAACATTCTGGCACCTACGAATTTCGTTATTTAGTTGGTTCTAGGAGTTTGTCATCGATTCTGACATGTTCTGACATTCATGTTCGCCACAGTATGCTAATAATTTTTTATGCCTTTACCATAGGCCTTCCTGCTTGTAGAACGAATGAATTAAATAACATACACAATAATAATACAATATATGAAAACTGAAATTTACTTTAGTGCTTAAAAATTTATTTTCGGTGTCAGTTTATCTTTAATATATGCAACATACTATACACAACTGGAAACGAATTTATCCTCTCGACATTTTGTACGTATGTACTCATATTAACAGAGATCTATACCAGACATTGTATAAACCTAGATTCTATCCTATCAGTTTTTTTTTTGGGCACAATTGATAAAACTACCCGAAACTCATGCGGGCGTTATTTACGCGTAAAGCGATTCCAATTATTTCTCGTTTTCTGCCGTATTCGGAATGAGCATGGACTGATACATGTAGGAATTTATAGACTGTCGTGTACACCCAAATTTCCTTCTAGTTACAAATGGCAAATAAACCAAAAATCACTTTTCACTTTCCCCTACAGAGGATAAACATATACATACGTACATATGTGTAAATATACTTATAGTCGTCTTACGTAGTATTTTGCTGTTGGTGTAGTCATATTCATTGCTGTCAATTCGTTTTGTCGCGTTCGTTGCTAAAATTGTGTACCGTGTTGTGTCTCGTGTTAATTTTAGAAATTCCGTCCAATTCATTTGAATTCAGACTGTGGTGGCACACGGGAGAGCGTTAAATGAGAGCGCGATATGTAATAACTGCATCGCAAGTGGAAAAAAGTAGAATCAAAGTAGCCAAGCCTAGTTCAACTAAATTTTTGCTATAAAATATCGAAAAAATTAATTTGTGGAAGTGAATTTAGAATCCAAATAAAACAGCAGAGTAAAGAAATTATAGTTTCCACATTCCATAGCGTGGCAAGTGGTTGTTAGTAAAAAAGTATATATGTATATGCAAATACTGAGCAACTGGTGTAATTCCAATTGGAAAATATACAAGAAACAAATACGACAAATAGATAGATAGAGAGAGAGAGAGAGAAAAAGTGAAGTGAAAAAGTCAAACTGGACACAAATAAAAAGTACAAAGCCATTGAATATAAAAAGATAAAACGAAAATTTCGACAGTGTACGAATACGCAAACGTGACAAATTGTGAAACGTGTATATGTATGTATATAGAAAAAAGCTTTCCACTGAGGAAACGACGGAGAGCAAGTCTTGCTGTCTCAAATATCTTAAAAAAATCACGTTTTCGACAGTATTTTTCACGTTTTATTTTTGAAAATTAAAATTTGTGTACGCGTAGCGACTATTTGACGATTCAAGGTTTTCGTACGAAGTAAAGTTGAAAGAGGGAACGAATAGCTTAAAACAAAATATATATATGTAAATATGTATATATATAATATATAATATATAATATACAATAAGTTAACTTGTTGAAAAGCAAGACAAATATTTCGGGTGGTGTCGTTCAGTCGCTGTGACTATAGCAGTTAAAGTTTTCAAGCCATTGTTGCCACTCTTATATTACTTGATTGGAAATTTTCAAAAAAAAATCGTCGAATAAAGTAGCCAATGAAAGAAGGAAGAAAATAAAAAACTATCGCCTCGTTGTGGAAAAGATCAATTTGTATAGTGGCTTTATACAAAAATGGCAGTAAAACAAAAGTATTAGAAAGATTACCACGTTACTGATTAAGAAATCTACCTACACAAATAAATCTGAAGAGCTGTGCATGCACGATTTTTACCAGAAACGTTGGTATTAGTGAGTGTATTCAGAGATAAGAAATTATAAAAATACGTTTGTTATCTGAAGAGTCTTATCAGTTGGGTACAGCTTTTAACGCTCACAATTATATTTTAAACAAATTGATTGCTTTCCTTGCAAAGTTGTAAAACATCTGATTCTTCATACTTTAATACAAAATTAGCCGAAATGATCTAAACTAAAAAAATGTGTATTGAAGAAAAAAGACCGAAATTAAAGTAATTAATTTGGACATACTTAAGTGCCTATAGCTGTAGAAATTACTTTTGGATATTCTAACGAACCAAAAAAAAAAAAGTCATTCACATTTGGATTTGTAAAAAAGTCCTTGGATTTCGAGTTGAGTGAAATGGAAAAATTGTAGTAAAAGTTGACATTGTGATAACATTGTACCTGCTCCAGGATTTGTGACTTTTCTCTACTTCGCGCTTAATCCAACATATTAACGTTAAAACTTTTTACAAAATCGTTCAGTATAAAAAAGTGGAATTCCCTTACTTTATAATCTATAAACTTAAAAATATATGTTGGTTCTAATGTTCGCAAACAAAACGTTATAATAATTGAAAAGTTTTAAAAACAAAACATAATATCTAAGTGAAGTTTTATTAAAACTAATCCCGTCAAAGTCTTAAAGGGTACCAATTATTGTTACCACAACTAATACAAAGGGAAATTGGTGAGCCAAGGGTTTAGTTTTATAAACATTCAGTACCCCAAGCATTTGTAGAAGGAACTGCCGGTCAACAGTTTCAATTATCAAGAACACCATATTGGCCGTTTCATCTACTGCAACTGTCGACTCCAGTCAGCTAAAAACGATTGTCACCATTCCACCTCAACTGCAACCAACTCGCAGCAACAAAATTAAGTACGAAATTATGGAATCGTACTGGAGCGAAACCAATGGACACGCTCCACATTCGGTTAAGTATGAAAGGTAGGTATGAACAAGTATTACAATTTACTCTTTTAGAAATCGTACCGTTGCATTAAGTTTAAATTGTATTTTAAGTAGCTAATATTCAGAACATAAATGTAAACAAAATATATAATGCTAATATATATTTTAATTATTGAAATAAACAGTAATTCTACATATATATTTATGTGTATCTAATTTAACATGTTTTTAGGGATTTAGTAATTTAGTGATACAAATATTGTAAACGTAAAGTTAGAAGTTACAGTTTAAAATTTAAGCCTTCAGGACCTAAAATAATATTATTTCGTACTTGTTGATATCTGAATGAATGTTATGTACAATCACCACTTTAAATGATTTTATAGGCACTGACGGACTTAATATTGACACGTTTGTATATGTATAAATAATATTTATAAAAGTTGATTATGGATTATATTTTATTTTTTTATTAACTTCAAGGAAAATTCAAAGAATAACACATACAGCACCAACGTCATTATATAGTCCATAGTTGGTGGTATCAAAAGTTTTGAGCAATATTAAAACTAGAACTACCGACGATTGACGTATACCTACTTCTACCGGAGGGTCAAAATGACTTGTTTCTTAAATTACTAAGAGACATACTATAAGAAAAGACAGCAATTTATACGTTTTGATATATTTTGTAATTTTATGAACAAAACTTGAATATAATCGGAACAATAATAGTAATATAATACGGTTAGTTCTTTGTAGTCAATTGCAAGTTCTTCGGATAACTGGAATAAAATGTCTTTTCTTGAAATATTTTCCCCTGTTGTTTCTTTATATAATATCCAGGCATTTATTCCGGCAAGATCTAAAATATTGTAAAACAGTTGTAATGGCCATCTTCGGGATCCAGCTTTCACAGTATATTTCCGAGCCATTTGATCCGTAACATCTACGCCAAATTTGGTATTGTTCTAAAATGTAATCGTTTCAGGTAAACGTTTGCCATCTTTTTCAATTTTTACTGACTTATGTTTTGAACTGAGCACTAATACTTTTTTTTTTTATTGGGTTTACTCTTATATATGGTCAGAGTAAATTTTTCTGTTTTTAAAGTACTGTCGAGAAACAAGACAAGTTATCCTTTTCCTAAGTAGGGAAATGCATTTTGGTTGGGAATAACTGCTCATCAATTGTAATGGCAGCACCTGGTTTATAACACATTTGACTATTTTCAATAAATTTATTCCATACCTCTGAAACTAATGCAAAATTATTCTTATGCAATCTTTGGCTACTTTCATTTTTCTTATCGAACCGAATTAGCCGAAGAATTTCGGTGAATTTATTTCTGCTCATTGTCTTAGAGAAAAATTTCGGATCCAATTTTTCGGACCATAAATATGGAAGTTTTAAATTTTTTGCTTCGTATGCATCACGAGCATATAAAATTCCTATATTCCACTTTCACTTTCAGAATTAGGAAAAATTTGGACTATTTTACTTTTTTTACGCAAACGTCGAAGTATTTCATCGTCACTGTCAGTATTGGATGACTCGCTTGGACTTTCGTTGTTTGATGGAAGGTATTAATTTTCATTTTCAACTAGATCACTTTTATCATACTCTGTATCGGAACAATTTTCTTCCAAATTATTTATTTCTTTCAATAATTTACTGCTTCGTGAAATTTTTCTCATTGTTTCGAAGAAATTCTATGGGTTCAAATATTTCTGCAGTTTGCGTAACGATATACTTCTAAAACTTTACAAATATTTTCCGATATAGTTAGGATGAGGTTACAGCGAATATAGTTGTACTGAGAGTTGTGTTTCAATGTTTCTGATAGACGACTGAGTCGTATATGGCAGCGTTTCTGATCGACTGAGGCTAAGCGCACATTCATCGATAATAAAATTATAAACTTTCGATTTTCTAGAGGTATTATGACAAAATAACGGTTTCTATGTGTATCTTTTAGGCTACGTGCCACAAATAGTTTCCACGATACATCAGAACAGCACCGAAAACCTTGTTCCGTGGGGGGTAAAAATGACTCATCTCGGTATATGTAGGTATACTGCATATAATTTTACAACAAAATAATAAAAAAAAGAAAACTGTTTTACAAAATTAATTATTTGTATGTTTTAGAAAACGTCGTACAAAATTTTTAGAAACAAAATGTACCTGAAATGAGTTATAATTATAAGAAATGTCAAACAAGTAATTTTGACCTCCCTTGGTAGTTCTAGTGTTAAGTACAAATAATTTCAAAATTTGTTTCAATGTTGTTTAAAGAATTCAATAATTGTATATGCTAAACATGCTAATATGTTAAAATTTAGACGTTGTAAACGACAAGTCGGGTTTACGTAACCGAAGCCGTCTCAGATTTTTATCCGGCTGAGGACTGTCAACTCGACAGTAGTTCTCAAAATTACTTTAGGGATGTGTTCTGCCGCTCCAACAACAAAAAAACTTTGTCATGTCGCCGTTAATAACATGTAAATACGCTGGGAAAACGTGGGAATAAGTAAGACACATGTACATACCAACGAGTAGTTAATGAAACTAAACGCACGACATTGCAAACGTGATCTGCGTTACGCGAACGCCAGTGCTTCGTAAATGTTCTTGTTATGGTCGTGCGTTCACATTTTTATAAGTCGTATATAGCGGGAAAGGTACCTGACATGTTAGCCAACACAAAAACGAGGCAGCGACGTTTGGCAGCTAATAAACGGCGATTGAACAACATCAACACAACACAAAAGCCCCAGTAGATACAAAAGTATGCGCATCAATAACATTATCATTGGCATTATTACTGACGACAACATCAATTAAGAGTTTAACAATAATTTGTATAATTAATACTTTCAACTAATATTACAGGGTGTGTGTTTATGTATAAACTGCTTAGGTATTGAACTACTTTAATCAGCGGTGGTAACCAACTTTAGTATAGACACAAATATAAATGTAGTGTTTGCGTTACGCGACTCATGAATTCCTTTAAATACGTGTGTATAATACTATAATTTTTTTCCGTCTATAATTGTAAATAAGTATATACAATACGCACCCTACAAGAAACTGCCCTACAAGAACAGTGACATTCATCTGACCGGTATAATGACAGTCACAGCTGAATAAATTTTGTCAGCGCGCAGAACAAGTTTCTATCATTTTCTTAAGAGCTTTGTGCAAAAACTGATGTAAACAAACGTAGGTGTGTAAGTTTGCATCTCTCTTTAACCTATGGGTATTCGGAATTGATTCACTATATATCAATACTGCTCGCTCTCATGCCTTTTTCTGAGTCATTGCTGACTATAAATCTATCAAAGCTGAAAACTGTCAATTGACAATCATCAACATTGACAGTCATTTTACTATTCATTTGACTGACAAAAGTTTTTCAACTGTGACTGTCATATTACCGATAAGATGACTGTCACTGTTCTTGTAGGGTATGTGCATATGTGTTCGGGTATATACGATATGTACATAAATTGATTGGTTGAGTGGGTATCTATCGTCTGATTTTAATTTAGAATTCAGGCAACACTCGAATTCGATATGAGTGGGCGGAAAGGTGCTTTGTCTAATTGCAGGCTATACATATATGCTTTGTGTAGAATTTTTTTTAAATATTTAATATTATATGCACCTGTTTATGCAAATGTGTGAGCATATTAACTTGTTCATATAAAAATTAAAGTATAGAGAATAGAACCGCCATGCTTATATAGCAGACATCCATTTAGTTTTGTTTGCCTGTTGATTTTGAGATAGTTGTTTATGGATTGCACACGTGTGTCCTTTAGAAGGTCATAGTTGAAACAATATCAAAACAAAAAGAGGCAATCGTCTACAAAATGAAGATTTGTTTAGAATACTTATATACATATATGTACGTACATAGATATTTAAGTATAAAAATTTAGATATGTACGTATTTGTCGGCTGCTTCGACTTTTAGTCACGGTTTGGTCGGTGATGAAATATGAACATGTATATGTATGTAGCATCTAATTAATTTTAAGTATTCAAATATGTATATTTATTATTTATCAATTTTATTTGTTTTTAATATAGTCAAAGAGTTTAAGGCTTCCTTTATTGAATTAAGGAGTTATTTTTGTAGATACAAGACGCCTTAATGTAATAACATATGCATTTATGGATGTACCGACATATGAAATTAAAAGTATTTGCATGCTTGTGCAATGGGTTTTTTCATTATTAACTTTACGAGGGATAATGATATCAATTCGAAATTTAAAATTATCTGTAGACTTAATTATATTTTTAATCCAATTATTTTTTTTTATAAAAATTTTTTTTTTTTTAAATAACAAGTGTATTTACTGAACCACTTTCCACACACCACAACGAAACCATTCGCCATTGCTTATGAAATACAATAAAAATTCCGTAAAAAAGAGAGAAGTCATACCCAAGCAAAGAGCATGTGATATTCATAAAGCAATAATGCCAGCCATCACAAATTTACTTACACTTATCCATTTATATCGTAAGTTGTATACCATATGTATTTATATTATATATTATATAAATATTTACGTAAATTCGGCTGCTTAGTGCCCGTTCACACGTGGAATCTTTCCTCGTCCAAACCGGTTTTTTTGGTGGCAAGGCGACTATGTGGAAGGACGAAGGGACATACGACATATCACGCCACTCCCTCACCCCTAAATACCCGCGAAAAATTAACTGCAACGGGCTCCAGCGTAAGATCGAGGAGATTGCATTATTGAATCGATAGCTGCGGTCAAAGAAACCAAGTTAAACAGCCGCTCAGATATTCTAAGTTGTGCAGTTTTCAACGTTATACGTAAGGATCGCGATCGAGATAATGGTGGAAGCCTAGACTTCATACTGCACAACACTGTGCAATATCATCTTATCGATGGCGCATCCACCGAAGGGAGACTACCCTTGAATGTCAGCTATCCGGTCAGGCGATGTTGAGCTCGAAATATTTAGTATACAATATATATTCCTCCCGT